GTGCACACATTATTTGTCTTTGTCAACATGTAATTGATAGTATCAATAGAAAATAGAAATCAATACTCAGTCATTTTTTATATAAAAAAGGAAATCCATTGGGTATCGATCACTATCACAGATGAAACTGTAATCAAGGAAAACAAATTTACAATACTGACAAAAGAATATAAGCAAGTTTGACATTTATTAGTTGCGGTTAAAAGTTTTCTTTGGCTTGAAAATGAGCAGTTCCAGAGGTAATTGTCTACTTGTTTAGCAACTGCATAGTTTCACTTTTATTCAGTCATTTTCAGTTCTTGAAAGGAAATCCTACGGACAGAGTGTCGTTACTCGATCAGGTTATGGTAATGAAACACATAATTTGCATTCTGCTGATACTGCTTTAAATCGGGGTAATAAGACGTCCTATTACACAGACGAACCTTCCGTAGCACATTTTGTTGTTGGCAATGTTAAAATTACAGTGACTGTTAGTAGTTCACCAAAAATAGCAACAAATGTAACAGCTATCAAGGATACTTACGATTTTAACAAGCGTTATGTTGATTTGGATTTAACCCGAGGTAATGGATCCGTCATCGTATCGACAAATGGAATAATAGCAGAGCAAGCGGATCGACCTGCCTCCGTCCATACATATAATACTACTAAAAGATTGACATCCCATGAATCCGACATTGTTAGACGTTCGAATACTCCATCATATATTAAAATCGATTATCCAAAAACAAGAGCAAGTCATATTGAAAGTTCTAGCAGTCGCGCATCGAACCTTTATTCAACAATACAGGTAAATTTTCTTATTATTTGTCAATCTATAATACTCTGATTTTTAAGCTGTCAAACTGTTTTTTCAACTTCAAAGGAACCGGTAAATTCAAGTGTGCAATGGCGAGAAGTTCACTCAAAATCATCTCATACAGGTCCAACAATCACTGAAATTTCCAATGCTGAATACGATAGAAACCGAGCTAAAGATCAGTTTTGGACTCGTTCACAAGCGAATGTATCATCGCAAGGGTCAAATTAGTTCAAATTACCTTCTAATTTGAACTGTTGCAGTGTTGGGAAAGGAACTGAACTATAATAATTATTATTACACTTATTATCACTACGTGGAAATTAATATTTAAATCAATTAGTTAGAAAAGTCGCTTCATTTATTTACTAAATTTGAGAATATTAGGGACTTATAATTATTTTACTAAAATCATGTAAGCTTAAAACCTTTATAGAATAATCGAAGATCTTGCTTAAACATAAAGTAGATTGCTCACTCTACTTTCGTTCATCCTTTTGTTTTGCTCTCACGCGTTTATATAAATGACAATGAACGCTTAACGAAATCTTATATCGTCATTTTTCTTCCACATTTTGTTCGTATTTGCCCTTTCGAAGATATTCAGCAACTGTTCAGAGAGTGCATGATGTAAGTTAATGTCCAGGAATGAACCACCAAAAAGATACAATTTCTCTTCGTGGAATTGAAGAACAAAATGAATAGGAATCAATATCGTGATAACATATCAGCAAAATATTACCAAATCGTAAAATTTTCGGATCTCACGAGCTTCGTAAGATTTAGCTAAGATCTTAACAAAAGTAAGAGGATACAAAAAGAGGATACTTGTCATATAGATGACAAGTGTGATCAATTGTTGATCATTATTGATGCATTCGTATAGTTTCTTTATAGATAAACGAATTATTCGATTATAAAACTTTCACACACACTAAACATCTTTTTGTTTATTGGCTATATTATTCTCTTTTTCATGTTCTGGTTTGTTGCTTTACTACATAAAGCGTGGATAGATATAAAATTTACTAAACACAATATGTCTTTATACGGATATGCAATAATAAACTGTATTGAATATTGTCACATTTTTTACTAAAGATGACAGTACTGTATCATAATGAGTTTCATGTCTACATCCAAATAGTTATTGTTTTTCAAGCACATTTTAAATGAACGTTTTCAACGGTAACAAGGATGAGTAAAAGCTTTCAAAAACAGGATGCATAGTTTCACATTGAATGAGCGAGCAAAGTTTCCCAAAAAACAAGCTATATTAGCGTACAAATAGAGTTATCTCAAGAATCTGTATAACTATTTATTTCCTCATGCCTAACTTTACAAAAAGAATAGGTACGAAGAAAGCAAAAAACAATTATTTTAATGACATAAAAATTCAGCGTCTATGTCTATAACATCAGATTAGACTGCTTTCCCACATGAAATCAGTTAATGTTGTCATTACATCTTCAGTGTACATTTTGAGCCAGTACTCATGTATAGTGTCTCGTATGAAGCTGGTGAGCTATTAAAATGAGATCAACGGCCATCTGTCGAGAAATAAACTAAACGATATATTTGAAATATTTGAGTTTTGGTTGTTTGTCCTCTTTCTGAATCTGCTTCAACAATTTCACTATAACTCTGATAATCTTGATCACGAGTTTGCTAAAGTAATAAAAATCCCACTGTAAATCAAAATCAAAACTAACAGCAGATTCACTACCTCTCCACATGATGATTATTTTATGTTCCGATATCTATGTAAATTCACTGCATCTGAAAAGACGCATCTCGACGCTTATTTTTCAAGAAAAATTTCTAAAATGCATCCTGGCAAGTTTTTAAACAAAAAAACGCGTCTTAACTCGCGTTGCCACGAGACGCATCTAAACGCGCCTGATAAATTTTAATAACCGAAACGCGTCTTACCACCCTTTTTCAATTAAAACGGCTCAGACGCGTTTAGAAGTCGCATTTAAACGCGTTACACCTAGGACTGTCTGTTTACTTATTACTCGATGTTACTTTACCAAGTAAAGTAACAAGAATTTGTCACTTGTTACTAGTAACAACAGATGCTAGTTTGTTACATTGTTACTTTTGGTAAAGTAACAAAAAACAAGTTTTTTTTTGTTTGCTCATAAAAACTTTTTTGAAAAAGGTTTTGTGATGTGAGGGTGGAATAATTGAATTTCATCAGATGTCTTATAAGTTATAACTCTTCCCTTAGCAATGATGTATAGCTAACAAATATTTCAAGTACTTCTTTATCAGACGTTCCACCACGTTTTAGCAAGTATTTCACCCTCATCTTCACAAAACCTTACTTAAAGAGTCGACTGGCTATATCTACTAAAAGATTGTTCCTTGTTACTTTACCAAAAGTAACAAAGATTTGTTACTTTGTTACTAGCAACAAGTAACAACTGCGTTATTTATTACTATAGTAACAAAGTAACAAACTAGCATCTGTTATTAATAATCACTAGTAACAGTAACAAAAATTGTTACTTGTTACTAGAAAGTAATGGTAAACAGACAGCCCTAGTTACACTCTTGATCTAAAGTCGAAGACCTGAAAGATATACATTATACTGTTGGCACTTTTGTCCTTCGATGTGTAAATAATCATGAAAAAATGAATTCAGTTTCAGATAGAAATAGGATTTGTTGAGGATTGTCATTGAGGACATTCGTAGAGTAGTAGGCGTTCTGAGCTTTCCAAACTGCTTTTAGTAAAACGATCGAAAGCTTAGCCCCTCTAATTAAAATACTTCCATGAAAGCTTTATTCGGATAAATATTTCCCTTTTTCAAGATCGTTCTTTTTATTAATGTATATCATACAGAAAGTTAAAAAGACCGAAAACATAATGCAGACTATATTATACAGTCTAATCAAAAATAAAAGCTGTATTTGTGCAAATTGAATACTTTTGATAGGAATGTATTAAAATTGTTCGACTTTCTGTTTTAAGTACAGAAGAGTTTGCTTTATCTGAATAACATAGTTTCACAGGTTTTCAAGAGCAAGAAGAAAAACGCCCGACTGTGAGTCCCGATTCCGGTGGGAAGTATGCCGTACAATATATTTACATCGCAAAAGAACACCCACAGAGCTCTAAAACTTTCTCCACTGAACAGGGCATACTTGATAACCTAATAAAACTTAAATAAGAAAAACTTTATCATCATAGTTTTCGATTTGTAAGGCGCACCAAATGCAAAACTGCAGTGGAAAATTTTTTCGATGAAATTATACATGCCTAGATAGAGCTCGACGAGCTGATTCTGAATCTTTGATTTTCAATTTTTTTAAACGCTGTTTTCGGCCTGAAATCTTGAAAATACAAGTTAGCCCTCAAAAAAAATGAAAACTGGATTAATTTCGAGAAGATTCAAGGTTTTCGCACTCAAACTAAGTCTAATTTTTCGAAACTATTTTATTCGGACTTAGCATCAAAAACTGCTTGTGGAAGAAAATACGTAGACTTCACCCACATACTTAGGAGATTTTGAAAAGTTTTCTAGAAAGTCTCTAGAAAACCTGTGACAAAAAACAAGGTTTTATAGGAGTTTATGATTTTCTAAAGATCTGAAAACATGAGTGCTTCGACTTCTTGATGCCTGGATTGCAGCTGAGTAAAGTTTGAGTGCGACATGTATGTACTTGAAAGAAAGCAATAAGACAATAAAAGGAAACAACTGACAAAATAATAATTGAACGTTATATTGCAACGCGCTGCGACAGCAAGTCGGGATTGCGTTCCTTTTTTAGTTTAAAAAATCTGAAATCGAACTCAAATGAACATATCAATAATTACCGGACATTTATAAAATCATAAACCCCTGTAAGGCGTCGTTTTTGTTATAGGTTTTGTAGAGACCTTCTATAAAACTTCTCGAGATTCCCTAAGTATGTGAGTTCAATTCTCATATTTTCTTACCTATATATCGAGTTTAAAACTGAAATTAGATTCATTTATAAGGAAATGGTGTAACACTACTTTTTGTATAGTCAATCACAGTAAAGTTCGCTTTTCTCAGCCTGGAAATAAAATTTCAAGGTGGCGATACGAAAATTGTTTGGCTGTCATCTGATGGTGCGTAGCATGTAGAGAGTTGTTGAGGTTTATGAAAAGCTGAATTGGTTCGTGAGCTGATTGTCAGTTAAGGTTCTAATTTCATTTTCTTTTAATTTTAATCGACAAAAATACGTTCAAAAACAACAGTATTCATATTCTCTACAGGAAACGCTGAAAATACACTTTTTTATCTGATTTTTACATATATGATAGAGCTCATGGTTCTGAACAATTGTGCCATTTAGCATGGTATCAAAATCGGTTTCTAAAAGACAGCAGTAGATGTTTTCTATCTATTCCGTGCGATTTGCACGGAGTATCCATAATTACCCCATGCAAAATAGCTGAATGTCCATAATTATCCCAAACAAGAAAAATAAAAGAAACGACTGTGTTCTTTTATTTTTACAAGGATAATTTGCAAAAAATTTCGAAAAAATTTTTTTTCAAATAATTTTATATTTCTGTATATATTCTTGTAGAGCATCAAAAGTTACATAAGAACTGTAATTGGTTTTTTGAAATTCTTCTGTTATCCTATCGAAAAACTAAGGAGCAT